GGAAGGCTTTCTTCTCCTGGCAGCCCTCCAGGCAGTAGCTGTCCCCTTCGGCCGCCAGGTATTTGAGGACCAACATGCACGTCAGGATGACGCAGAGCCCGGCGGCGAACACCAGCCCCGAGAGCAGGCAAATCTCCCGGCGGCTCCAGCGGGGCAGCCCCCCGCCCCGTTTCTTGGCCCCGGCACCCAGCTGGAGGGCGAAGCCGTTGGGCAGCGTGCCGCTCTGGTACCGGCTCACGTACTTCACCTCCTGGAACTCGTCGTAGTGGGCCGTCAGCGAGTAGGTCTTCTCCATGGCCGGGGTTGCCCGCAGGCACGGGGGGCTCAGGGAAGGCAGGGGACGGGTGCCGGTGCTCCCCGGTTCATGCTGGAGGCGGTGGAGGTGCCCAGAGAGTCAGGCTGCTCCTGGAAAAGGCAGAGGAGGTGGTTGAGGGGTGTTCGGGGAGGAGCAAGGGGATCGCTTCTTGCCGTCATCATCGCCCACGTCGCCGTCCCCGCTGGTGGCACTGGTGGCGCTGGTGCCGGGAGCTCGGGGGCAGCCCAACCTCGTGGCTGTCCCCTTGGTCCCCCACCTGGTGATGGGGCAGGGTCCCACCTGCACGATCCCACACAGCCCCTGGCAATGCTTTATCCCCCTGACGTGGGGACAGCACCCACCCCAAGTGGGTGCCCGGGGTGGTTTGGGGAGCTCCACACCGCACCTGATGGGCTGAGGGGGGCACGGGGCTGCCAGCCCCTCTGCGTGGGGTGAGCAGCGTGGGTAAGCGGGTCCCTGGGGATTTTTTTGGGGGGGGAGAAAGCATTGTACGGGGTTGGTTTGGGCTGTTGCACGCCGGGTTGTGCTGTCTCGCCCTGCGCCGTGCCGCGTTGCACTGGGTTGGGGTGGGTCGTGTTGCATTGCGTTGCCTCCAAGTGTGTTGCAGCGCGGTGTGCGCGCAAAGTTCGCTCCTGTCTGGGGGGGGTCTGGCCCCTATGGGCACCTCACAGCACTCCCCTCACCCCAATCCCCCTCCCCAATACCTCGCCCCTAGCCGGTGCCCAGCGGTCGCTGCTCTGCGGAGGGGGGGGCTCTGCCCATGAGAAGAGGGTGGAGGCATTGGGGGGGGGGGGGGCTTCAAAAGGAGCCCCCACTCCTCGCTCAGCGCAGATCTGCACATGAATTTGCAGGTGTGGGGAGGACACGCCGAGGACAAAGAGCCGCTCGGGGAGGAGAGGGGGGGGCGATATCCCTGCGGCAGGGTCCCCCCGGCCCCCCAGCACCCTGCAGACCCCGCTCCATCCGCAACTTGGGTGAAGTTGTGCCCCGGTGCCGCAGCCTGGCGGTGCCCGTGCCGGAGAGCAGCCGCGCTGCTGCCACCGCCGCCACCACCGGAAAGTTTGCGGGGTGGGTGGTGGGCACGGCAAGGTTGGAGGGGGCTCGGGGTGCTGGGGGGGGCTGCAAGAGCTGCTCGGGGGACGGTCCCCAGGGTGGTCCCCAGGGTGCTGCGAGGATGCTCCGGGGATGCTCGGGGGATGCTCGGGCGTGCCCGGGGCGCGCTGCCCAGGCTGCTCGGGGGATGCTCGGCGGGATGCTGCCCGCGGTGCTCCTCGAGGGATGCTCGAGGGATGCTCGGGAAGTGCTCCCCGGGAATAACGCCCGGATTACTCGGGGGATGCTCGCGGGATGCTCGCTGCCAGCCTCGGGGATGGTGGTGATGGGGGGGGGGGAGTCTTCCCCGTGCTGCTCCCCGGGGCTGCTCGCCGAGGCACTCGGGGGGATGTTCCCCGGGATGTCCGGGGGCGCACGGGGGTGCCCAGCTCCTGCTCCCCGCCCCACCGGGGGGGCTGCTCCGGGCTGCGCTCGGGGAAAACGCCGCCGGGGGGATGCCGCTTGGGGGATGCCGCCCGGGATGCTCGGGGGGACGCTGCCCGGGGGTGCTCGGGGGATGCTCGGGGGGTGCTCGGGGGGTGCTCACCGGCTTGCCGGGGGGATGTCAGGAGGCTGCCCGGGGCTGCTGGAGGGCTGGCCCGGCGGTGGCCGTCCGGCTGCGCGCCCCGCGCTCCGCTCCGCGCCCCGCGCCGCGGCTGGAGGAGCGGCGGGGCCGGAGGGAGGCAGCGGGGCGGGGAGGGGGTGGCGTCTCCAGCCCGGCTCTCCCGCAGGCCAGGCTCCATTAACGAGATTATTATGCAAATGGAGCAGCCCTGTGCCACCCGCCAGCCTTACCTCATCCCCGCCGGCGGGGAGGAAGGGTAAGGAGGGAGGAATGGGGGGGGGGGGGTCCCCAGGACCCCCTGCCCCCGGGGGGAGGGTGCTGGCACAAGGCTGGCAGTGCCACCAAGCTTGGCACCCACCGGCCGGGGACCCTGCTGCCACCCCCTGGCAGGTTGGCACCCAGGAAGGGCAAGGGTGGGCACGGCTGGGGGGGCTGTGCTGGCCGCATCCCAGCCGCTCGGACACCCCCCAGCCATGTCCGTGCACCCCAGGGTGCTCATCCTGTGCTGCCAGGGTGGGTGCAAGGCGGGGAGAGATGGAGGTGGGAGACAGGGGGAGCCCAGGAGGCTCCAGGTGAGAGGGTGGGCACGGGGGTGGCATGGGGCGGCATGGGGAGGGGGCCACGCACACTCGTACACACGCACACACACGCAAAGGTCTGGGAATATTAAACTGCATTGCAGATAAATCCCCAACATATATATCGTGAGCCGCTCTGCCACGGGGGGGCCCAGCAAGGAGATTTATAACCCATCAAATCCCACTGCCCACAGCGGCCCCGCACAGCAGCCAGGGACCCCATCCCCGCTCAGCCAACCTGCTGGCCGTGCTCCTGGGCACCTTGACACCCCCATCCCACATGGCCCTGGGTGCTGGGTGGGGGCCTGGGTCCTCCTGGGCACTGGGGTGGGAGTTTGGGGTGTGGGTAATGTGCTACACACACCACGTGGCATGGGGACGCTGCGTGGCATGGGGACGGGTGGCTCAGCTGGTGTGGGACCCACTGGGTCTGTCCTGTCCTGCGAGCACCATGGGCTGGCCATGGACACACAATGGCACGTGCTAGCATCAGTGCACACGCTTGTGCACGCTGACACACGCAGTGTCCAACAAGTGGTGCCATACAGCTCCCGTTACAGCCAGGCGTGCCCTGCCACACTCACACACACCCCAAAACACATCCACAGCCTCACGACATCGCAGCAAACCTTTCCCCGGGCACACACCGGGCTCCAGGAACCCCATCAGGTGCCTCCAGCTTGGGCACGCCGAGCAGCACCAGCAGGGTGCAGAAGCACCCAGCCCCAGGATGCTTCGTGGGTGGGTAAGGGGGTGCCCAGCTTGCTGGGGAAGGCACAGCACCAGGTGCCACCACGATGGCATCCCCATGCCTGTGCTTTCCCAGCCCCCCCCCCCAGACCCACCTTGGTGGGAGCATGATGGATGTGTGCGGGAAAGGAGGGGGGGGCGCAGCGTTATTAACAGCCTGGGTATTGCTCCAACAGGGCTGTAAAAATTAAAGGCGTGTGGATATAAAATAATGGATAAATCTGAGCCGGCCGCAGAGTTGCTGCGGCGTCCCAGGGGAGCTGGCAGCTGCAGGAGGGAGGGTGCAGCAAACCTGGGACGGGGACCTGTGGGTGGGCATGGGGGGGAGGTCAGGCAGCACCTACACCAAGTGCGATTTTCCAGTGCAAATGTCCCAAGTGCCCCGAGGAGCTGCAATGCCAACCTGTGGAGCTGGCACCGCCAGAAGCTGCTCTTGAAGCTGGGCTAGAAGAAAAAAGGGGCTGAGCATCGGCAGGCTGGGCTGGTGGGGGCACGGGGAGTTTGTTCCAGGATGCCCACAAGCACTGCCCGGCCCCAAGAGCAGCGGCGGTGCCCTGTGCCCCGGTGACAACGCACCCAATTTTGGCCAGGGCCAGGCTGGTGGGACCCCCCCCAGGTCCTGCCCGCCCTGCAGCCCCCAGCCCTGACCCTCAGCAGCCCCCTCCTCGCCAGCCCCACGGGCCACCCCGCCGGCATCCTCATTTTCCCCGAGATTAGCCGCGGCGCGGGAGCCTCCGCGCACCGCCAGCAGGTGACAAATAAGATTTTTCCACTCTCCCGAGCACCCGGCATGGGTCTGTCATTGAAAATGCAAAGCAGCGCGGTGCCAACCTCCGCCACCCGCCCTCCCCTCTGCCAGCCCCTCGGTGCTGAGCGCCCGGTGGCCGAAGCCCCCATCGTTGGACCCCCAAAATGCCACCCGCTCCCCGATGGCGGGGCCAGGCGTGAGCCATGGGTGTCCTCCTGCCCGGTGTGGAAAGGTCCTGGGGGGGGTTAAAGGGTGCTATTTTGGGGGTGTCCGCCTTGGTGGGGCATCAGCGTCCCTTTGGTGGGGGAGCGGGGCAGGGTGTGGGTGCTGGGGGTCCCCACCACGCTGGGTGTTTGTGCCCCACCTGTGGTGCTAAGCTCACCCTCGTGATGGCACGGTGAGGGCTTGTCCCCTGCTGGAAGCATTTGGCACAAGACGTGCCCATTGGGGTGAGATCTGCCCCCACAAACCCCACCCCAAGTGATCCCAATCCCAGCTGCCAAAGGAGGAGGATGGGAATGATGCCCCCAACCCCAGAACTGGGCACGTCCACCCCGCATCCACTGCCCAATCCCCCCAAACCTCCTCAGTCCCCCAAACCCCTTGGACCCACAAAACCCCTCAGCCCCCCTCAGACCCAGCCCTCGCACCCCATTATCCAGCCCTGCTGCACCCCCCAGGCTGGACACATCCCCAGGCAGCCCCCGGCCCCGCTCCCCGCTGGCTCCTCATCTCCCCCTCCGCTATTGTTACAGGGTTGCCTCTGCCTCTGTCTGCGAAATTAATTCGGAGGTGGAGAGGGAGAATTATGTAAAGTGTGGTTATTCTGGAGCGGCGGGGGAAGCGCGGCTGATGGCAAAGTGCCTTTTTGTGTGTTTAATATGCATTTTTTTCCAGCGGTGCATTTTCAGGCGGGTAATTTGCTGTCTTTTCAGACCCCGATCAGTATCATTTCTCCAGCAATGACAGCTTTTATTTGCTCTGAAATGAATGCTGCGAAATTTCCAAGAAATAGCCGAGGCCCCGTTGTCTGCCCACCCCCGCGGGCTGGGGCGCGGGCACCCACCAGCCCCCTTGCCCCCCTGCAGCCCCAATCAGTGGCAGTGCCGGGCACACGTGTGTGCAAGCCTGCACACCTCGTGTGTGTGTGTGTGTGTGCGCCCAGGTGTGTGCTCTCACACCTCTGGTGTGCACGTCAATGCACCGTGCACACCGTGCACGTGAACACATCCCCCTGCACACATATACCCCTCCCCAGCACAGCACCACACTTGTGCACGCACACACACTCCCAGTGCACGCACTGCCCTCCCCAGCACCCCCATGGCTCACTTGGCACCTGGTGCCAGTCACTGTGGTCTCGGTGTTGACACAAGCACGGGGGACTTGGTTGTGCCAAGGTGACCGTGGCACAAAGCGGGCACAAACCTGGGGAGCACCCAGAGGGAAGCCAAAGGCTGCTGGTGCCACCCTGCTGGGGGCTGCCACAGGCAGGGAGTGCGAGGGGCACCAGGACTGGGTGCAGGGGGCACCCCTGGGCAGGTTTTTGGCACCAGGAGAATGGGCACGGGCAGCAGGAGCGGGTGCAGAGCGTGTGCGTGCGTGAAGAGGGAAAGAAATGCTGTTTGTGTAGGTGTGCGCTGAGTGGGCGCTGTGTGCCGGAGCTGGTGTGCGATGCGGGCTGTGCAGCGGCTGCGTGCGTGCGTGCACACCTCCGTGTGCACGTGTGTGCCCGTGCCAGCCCCCCCCTACCCACGTCCCACTGCGTGTGGCGCTGTGCCTGCAGGTGCGGAGCGTACACACGCGTTGGTGCCACGCTGCGTGTGCAACACCACGTGTATGCTCCCTCAGTGCGCGTGTGCACAAGCCTGCGTGTGATAAAAAGTGATATTGGGGTGTGTGAGTAAGGCTTCACCCCCAAAAAACACCGCACGGGGTCATACACCCCCAGCTGGGGGTGCCCACCTCTCCGCTGCCCCAGCGGTGGCGGTGCCAGGGCCTGGCACGGCCAAGGTTAACTCCGCCAGAGCCCAGCGGCACGGTGCAGGGAAGCTTTAATTTAATGAAGTGTGAGGCTTTTTTATGGGCTTTTAATTACGTGGTGATAATTAACATTATAGGCCGCCGGGTCCCGGTGGTGCCCGGCTGCCCTGTGCCAGCTCCCGCCTGTTTGTAAATAAACCCAGCGGGCAGCCGGGGCCGGGGGCTGCGCCGTGCCCACCCTGGGGTGCCCAATTTCCTGCTGCCAGCAGCAGCTCCAGCCCCGAATCCTCTTCTGGGGGAGGGAGATTTGGGTTCAAATTTGGGCACAAACCCCTGCAAGAGGTGGGGAATAACGGAGCCCCCCCAGCAGCACCCAGCTCCCTAGGGCTTTTCCATGCCTCTGGCCAAGCAGAGCTGCCTGCTAGCACCGTGGTGACAAGGGGGGGGCACAGGGAGCTGTACCATGCTGTGTGTCCCCCCGCCCAGCCCCAGCCTGGCCCCAAGCAGCCCCCCCTGCATCAGGGCTAATAGGAAGTTATCCATCAGGCAGCTCCCGGGCGCACTGCCCGCCTGCCAGGCACCTAATAGATTTATTGCCAGTCACCCAGGCAATTTCCTGCCCTCCCCTAATCAATACAGCGGGGCAAGGGGAGGGGGGGGCATCATAAGGAGCTGGGGAAGGGGATGAGAAGGGGGTCAGGGCCATATCAGCCCCCCCAGTGGCTGAATGGGGGCACAGGGCCACGATGGGAAGGTGATGCCCCATGGGACCAACCCCTCCTGGTATCACCTCCCCATTTCCCTGGCAGGATGGGGGGCTTGGACCCCCCCCCATGCAGGAGCTGGGGGTGCCATATAGCCATAAGGGGCTGCCATATAGCCATTAGGGACTGCCCTATAGCTATAAGGGATTGCCCCCCCCTTTCTCCAGCTCGAGGCAGGGAGCCCAGGCACCTAAGGCTCCCCTCCCCCAGCCCCTTCCCATTTAATTTTCCCTAATGAAAGGCACAGAGGATGGCGGGGAGCTGGGGCACCAAGGTCGAGGCTGCCTTTAATCAATCCCCGCTGCTGGCCGGGTGCCCGGAGGAGCCTGCGGAGGAGAGGCTGGGGGGTGGCGGTGCAAGAGGAGAGCACTGGGGGGGGGGGGGGTGGCTGCGGGCGAGGGCCTCCCAGTAACAAACTGGGACAGCCCCAGTACCCCACCACCTCCCCATATGAAAGGCACAGTGAACGCACCGAGCGCCCGGATCCTGCCAGGGCAGCTTTAACCCTGCGCCTCCCCAAAAGCACCCCAAAACCCTCCACCCTCTCTCTCCTCCCAGCCCCATAGGGCCGGAATCACCGCCCAGCAGTTTGGGGACAGGTCCCCAACTCTGGCCGTGGGGCTGTAAGGCACTGGCCGCAGGAGGGTGAGGGGACACGGGGAGAGGGGGGGGGGCCACCCTAAAGCTGGGTGCTGGTGACGGCGCTCACCCCGTGCACCAGGACCGTGGGGCCCAGGCCGCGGGTGAGCAGCTCCAGCTGCCTCAGGTAGAGCGGGTACAGGCTGGTGTCGGCCGGCGGCCGCGGCAGGTAGAGGAAACGGACGGCGGGCGCCGGGCCCTGCTCCAGCACCAGCTTGTTGGCGGCACGGACGTACTCATCCGACACCCGGCTGGCGTTGGCCGGGAAGTTCACAGCTGCCCCTTCCTCCTCATCCTCATCCTCAGCCGGCGTCCCCGGGGTCCCACGTTGACGTTGAGCCTGCCAGTGCAGGCCGACGACGGCGTCCCAAGGCACCAGCTGGATCTGGGCCTGGATGCGCAGGTCCTTGAGGAGCTGGCGGAGCTTGTCCTCCTGGGCGCCGGGCATGGCTCCGGCCTCCACACAGAGGAAGAGGCGGAGGCGGGCCCGACGCCAGGCCCGGGCCATGTTGAGCACGCAGGCCATCTGCAGCAGGAAGAGGCTGCAGGTGTCGGCGTAGCGAGCGCTGTCGGGCCGCAGCAAGTTGACAGGCCAGACGTGGATGGTGGGCGGGGGGCTGGCGGCTCGCCGCAGCTCCCAGGCCTTGTCCAGGCTCTCCAGCTGCCGGGCCAGCAGGACGTTGCGCAGCATCTTCAAGGCGTCGGCCACGATGCCCACGTACTCCCGTGGCGACAGCAGTTTGGGGGCGGCGGGTGCCCGAAGAGGGGGGAAGCCCAAAGGAAGCTCCTCGCGGGCGCTGGTGAAGGCAGGGTGCCGGGCCAGGCCGTCCTGAGGGGCTGCGTCGTCGTAGAAGCCCAGCACCAGGGTGTTGGGGCGCATGCCGCCTGCCGAAAAACCACCATGGGCGGTCGTGACGGGAAGGAGAGGGCCATGCCAGTACCACCAGCACCATGGGTGCCACCAAACCCAACTTTGATGCAGGCAGTTCCAACCCCCTTGGGAATCACCCATCCTGGTGCCTCAATTCTCTTGGCATGACCCATCCCAGATGCCTCCAAGACCCAACTTGGCTTTGGCACTACCCACAGAAGTGCCTCCAAGACACAACTTGGCTTTGGCACCTCCAAACCCCTCAGCACTGCCCACCCGGGTGCCTCCAAGCCCCATTTTGGCTTTGGAGCTGACAAAGGGGCCAAAGGCCCTCAAGTTGGACCCCTTTCCATGCCCAGACCCCGCTCACCGAGGCCGGAGGTGAAGAGGAGCTGCCGGACGCCGTGCCGCACCGAGGGCGCGAGGGTGAGGCTGACGAAGGCCTTGACGTTCAGCTTGTCCACCAAGCCCAGCCACGAGTCCTGCTGGGGCTGCAGCGGGTCCGAGGGCAGAGCGTCTGGGTGGGGAGAGGAGACCGGCATCAGGCAGGGGTCACCCCATAACTGGGGGGCTCTCCGGTGTCCGCACAGCACCTCGGCACTGAGCACCCCCCAGCACCTTCTCCTTGTCCCCCCCAAAGCAGCCCCCATGCACCCACAAGTATGGGGAAGGTGGAAGCAGGTGCTTCCAGCCAGAGATATGAAATTATCCGTAAATATATAAAAAAAATAGCAGGCAGCCCCATCCCCCCCTCCCCAATTTCAGGCCATTAGTCACCACGGCAACGGCGAGGGGAGGTGGGGGGGGAGCAGAGCCAGGCATCCGCTGGGGGTGGGGATGGCCACAACGGGGCGAGCGCGCGTGCGAGGGAGCACACGTGTGTGCAAACCACCACGCACCGGGGGCAGACACACCTGAAGGGTGTGGGTGTCCCTCAGTGGGCACGAGATGAGGCTGGACACAGGCACACCCGCGTGCAAGGTTGTGCCAAGGGTGTTGGAAACGGGCACGCTTGCTGGTTGTGCATAGGTGTGCACGGGATCGTGGTGCACGTGGGTCCTGAGGAGCCTGGGTGGCACGTGCTACGTGTGTTTGTGGGGATGTGAGTGAGCACAAGAGTTGTGAAAGCCTGTGGGATGTGTGTGCACACAAGATATGGGATGGATGTAAGCCAGCTACATCCCCTGCACCATGCAAAGTCCACAGTGCCACCGGGGTGCCCAAAACGCTGGTATTTCCCTCCTCGTGCCCAACGTGCCCAGCTGGGAGATGGTGTCACCCCAGCCAGGGGCTCTGGGGATGATGTCCCAGGTCCGTGGCACCTCAGAAAGGGGCAGAGGCCCCCAGCGCTGGGACGGGGCAGACCCTCACCCAAATCCTGCAGCTCCACGTGGCCCAGGACGTAGAGGCCGCTCTTCTTGAGGTCGTTGACGAAGTCGATGAGGCGGGGGCTGCTGCGTGGGTTCTGCACCATCAGCAGCATCTGTGGGCGCCAGAACTTGACGTGGTCCTTCCGCACGTCCAGCATCAGCAGGTACTTCCTCACCTGGGGGGGGAAGGACAGCAGGTGAGGAGCCCACCTTCCTTCGACACACCGCCCCTCGAGGGGACGCCAGCCCCAAAGCCGTCGGCTCTCCGCCCCACGATGGGATTTGGGGGGGGAACAGGGCTCACCTGGTGGAAGATGAGGGCCTGGCTGATGTAGCCCCACGTGCTGCTGGGCGAGAGGTAGTGGAGGGCGAGGAGGAGGAGGAGGAGGAAGCCCAGGCTCGCCGAGGCCGAGACGGGGCTGATGAGGAACATCATGACGCAGCAGCCGGCGATGCCCAGCAGGCACGTGTGCCAGCTGAAGTAGCGGAAGGTGGGCCTGGAGCAGGGAGAAAGGGGCATGGATTGGGCACCAGCTGTGCAGAAAGCATCCGGGAAAGAGCTTGATGCCTCGTTAGCAGAGCAGGGGGCACAGCTCCCGGGCTCCTTGCAGCAGGGAGCTCAGCCCAAACGAAGCCTGGCCTGGGGTTTTGTGCCACCCGCTTTGTGCCAGCCATGCGGACAGGATACAGGCACCAGCAGGCACACAGCCCCTGGTACTCAGCTGTGCTCATCTGGCCCAGGAAAACCCCAACGAGAGGCAACAGGCACGTGCCAGGCTGCCGAAGGGATCGTCTGCTCATTACACCGAGGGTGACAGCAGGGAAACGCTCCCTGGCACCACAGAAATGGCAATTTCCATCTCCATCAGCCCCTACCATGGCCTGAGGGACAGGCAGCCTGGAAATGCCACCGTGGGGCTCCCACCTCGCTCAGCAAGGGCACCCGGTGCCCCCCCATCTCTCCATGGGACAGGGATGGTGGCACTGGGTACAGGGGCACAGGGAGGGCACAGGGCACCCCTCTGTGGCAGGGGAGATGGCACCGGGCAGCCCCACGCTGCAGAAAGGGGTGACCCGAGGGGCTCAGGAGCGACGGGGCCCCCCCCAGCAGCACCAGCAGCCGTGGCACCCGCTCATCCTGGCTCACGGAGGCGGAGGCGGGGAGGCGAGAGGCTGTTATTTTCTCTAATTGTTGTTTTCGCTGAAAGGTAATTAAAATCCTTTTCCGCTGCGCTTGATGGAGACCTCGGCACGGGGAAGGGGGGGCATCAGAGCGCGGGATGGGTGAGGGGCCCTCTGCCACCTGGCCCCAGCAGCTTCTACCAGGCACCAGTCCATGCCCCACGGCACTCATCCGTGCCCCAAAATCCCTCAGCACAGGGAAGGCGGGACACGGGCACGATGGGCGGCTGTACCCAACCCTATAGCAAAGGGTGCAAGGCACATCAGCCCCCCCCCCCAACCACCCCGCCGTGCCCCCCAGCTCTGGGCAGCCCTGCCATGAACTCGTCCTTCCTGGAAGAAGATCTTCTCCTCCCCCCAAGGCAGGATCCCCCCTCCCTCCCTCCCTCCCTTTCCCCGTTAGTTTAATTAGCGCTAATGGAAAGTGGGCTCCATCACCGCTTGGCGAGCTGCCCGGGGGATGCCGGGCGGGCGCAGGCTATAAATTACCTCTGGAAAGCCTCAGGGGAGGGGGCACTGGATAAATCCAGTGGCCTGGATCTCTCTCTACCCACTCAGTATCACGGTGCCGGGGCACGGGGGCTGTCCCCTTCTCCCTCCTGAGGGATGGGGGTGTTTTTCCCCCCCTAATTCCTTGCAGAGGGATGAGTGGTGGCCGCCCAGCACCGCAGAGCAGCCTCCCTCTCCCCCGGGCCAGCAGGTACCTGAAGTTGGGGGCCGATGCCCACTCCAGCGCCAGGCAGGCCAGGTTGACAGTGGCATAAACCAGCAGGAAGAAAGTGGTGACGACCCCCGCGATGGTGTTGAGCTTCCCGGAGAAGAGCACCAGCTGCGGAGAGCACGGGGGACGCAGCGTGAACCGGAGCCAGGGGCGTCCCATGAAAGGGCACCCAGTGCGGGGCACAAATCCCCATCCCCGGATAAGCCCAGGTGGGCCAGGAGCATCCCCAAACTCACCTGCACCACCAGCCAGGAGAGGATCACTGCCATGATGGGGTTCCCGCTCGCAGATGTCTTCTTGGCAAGCGCCAGCGCCCGGCCTGTGGGCAGAGCGGGGAGGTTGGGTTGGCACTGTCCCCAAACCGGGGACATCAGGGTGTGCTCTACGGGCTGATGGAGGGGGAAACAGGCACCCCCTACAGCACCCCAGCAGGGACAGGCTTGCTGTGCCACGGGGTACCAGTGCCTCCGATGCGCTTGGGCACTGCCAACCCAGCCAGGGTGGACTGGGCATCACTAGGGGGAGCAGAACAGCCTCATGACCCCAAACCTGACACGCACCAACCCACAAAATGTCACCCCAAGCCAAGAAGGGGATTCCCTAGTGCCAGGGCTGGTCTCCAGCTCTGGCTCCAGGCACTCACCAAAGAGATCGTCCCGGGCCAAGGCGTAGAGGATGCGGGACGCCCCGATGAGGTTGCTCATGGCTGCGGAGAGGGTGGCAGCGTAGATGCCCACCGTGACCAGGGGTGGGAAGATGCTGATGTCACGCAGAAAGCCATAATCCTTCTGCAGGAGGGTCCTGGAGAGGGAATACACACGCACGGGGACGCTCAGCGTGGCTCACGGCAGCGCGCCCTGGCACCAGTAACCCCAGTAACTCCCAGCACGGGGACGCACCTGCTGCAGGTGGCACACATGAGGAAGGCCAGAAGGTTGTAGACGAGGTAGGTGAAGAGCACGGCGGAGATGGTGCCCCGAGGGATGGAGTAGCTCGGGCGCTTCAGGTCCCCTGCGGGCAGAAGGGGCCGGTGTCACCTCCCCGCGGGCACAGCACCCCTCCCGCCTCATCCCAGTGCCTCCCAGTCCGGCGCCCCGGTCCCTACCTGACATGTTGGAGCCTGCCATGATGCCGGTGCAGCCGTTGAACATCACGGCGAAGACGGAGCTGAAGCTCATCATCTGCCCTGTGGTGTAGTCCACCCCGTACCCGCCTGCAAGGCACGGGGGTGCGGGCTGTGACGGGCTGCCCGGGGTGGCACCGCGCTGCCACGCGCCCTCTCCTCAACACCCCTGTCCCCAGACGAGTGCCACCACGGGACAAACCACCCCACGCCACTTGCTTTGTGCCTGCGAGCTCCCTACACCCTCCAGCAAGCCCCTGTTGGCACCGAGCTGCCCGTGCCACCCCTCTGCAGCCCGGCAGGTAGGGCTGGGAGGTGGCTGCCAAGCTGGGGAGCACAAATAGGGCCGGAGGAAGCCCTCACCTCCCAGGTTTTCCCGTAGGGTGGCGAGGGAGAAGCCCGTGAAGTTGCCACTCTCGGTCTCGGAGCTGTTGTGGTGCGGCATGCGGATGGGCACCCCGAGGGGCCGCGTGGCGAAGAAGCTGACGAGGATGGTGCCCAGCACGGCCGTGACGATGAGGAAGATGAGGAAGGTGGCCTTGGCGTAGATGGAGGCCCCCACGAGGCACACGACGAGGCAGAGGGCCAGCAGGATGGTGCCGTAGAGCAGCTCGTACCAGTAGCTCTGGGGCAGGACGTGGACGCCCTGTACCCGATTTTTGCCCTGGGCAGAGACAAATGGGATTCATCAGGGCTCAGAGCAGGCACCAGATCACGGGACAGGGGGTGGCAGAGCTGTGCCAGCCACGCCAGGGACACTTGGGGTGCTCAGGGAGGGGACAGTCGACGTCCCATCCCCACAGGGTACTCACCAGGTGGGATCCCGAAGCTGTCCACCACCGCCTCCACCAGCCCCAGTATGTAAAGGGCACTGCCACACACATTGGCCAGGAAAAACATGATCCCGATGCTGCCCCCGAACTCCGGGCCCAGGGCACGGCTGATCATATCTTCCTCAAGTCAAGGAAAGCGCCAAAAACCCCAAACCAACTCCCCAGCGGCACCGCCGGGCGCCCCACCACCCATGCAGCCCGGTGCCACGGGGCTGCCACCCGAAATTTGCCCACAGGGTGAAGGATACAGTAGGCTCCCCCAGCATCCAGCGCCCCGTTGGTGGCGATGGCACAGACGGACAGCACCGTCATGCCGATGATGAAGTACGCCACGGCGAACATGGCCAGAGCTTGGTACAAGCCGGCGTGGCCCACCACGAACCCTGTCGAGCGTTAACCCTGACATTAGCCAGGTACGGACCTCACCGTGGGGCTCACCCCGTGCCACCCCCTGCCCTGCTTGGGGGGGCATAAACGGTGCCCCCCGCCTTGGGGCATCCTCCTGCCGTGCCAGGATCGGACCCAAGCAGCTCAGGCCAAAAAAAAAACAGGGAGGGAGGGGACAGAGGGACACCAGGACCCCCCTACCCTGCTGCCAGGGGGTGCCTGGCACCACTTTGGGCAGCGGGAGGTGATGGGAGGGGGGGTGGGGGAAAAAGCAGGACCCCCATTAAGGGACCCCAAGGGGGAAGGGGGGCGCACAGCACACAGGGACCCGCGGGTGCCGAGCCCCACGGGTGCTCCGTGCGCTCTGTTTGCGCTCCCACCCCGCTCACCCGCTGCAAACCAGGAAGCAAAAGCAGCCCTGGGACATCCCTGCCATCGGCACCGTCCCCAGCACCTCCCCTGCCCCCTGGTGCCCCCCGAAACCCCCCCAAATCCCTCCCCAGTGCACGGCCAGACTGCCAGCGGGGTTGGCGAGGCTGTGGTCAGGAAGGGGCTGCCCACAGCGGCGGCGAGATGCCCTATCTCGGCCACAAGATCGGCCGCAGAGATGCCCCGGGGGGGGAGGAACTGAGGGAGGCAAACAGCAAGGAGGACTCGGGGGGGGGCAGGCTGGGTTTTGGGGCCCCCCCGCCCTGCAATCCTCAGGGTGCCCCAGTGCCAGAAGCGGAGGGGAGGTAGTAAAGGGGTGCCAGGATTTGGGGGCAGCCAGGAGGGGCTGGAGATTCTCCAGGGTTTTGGAGATCCAGGGGGGGGCTTGAGGAAGAGGGGGGGCTGCCCTGGGACAGCCCATAACAGGATGTTTCCTCTTCCTGGCAGCTCCACCCTGCGTGGCCCCAAACTTCCCCTCGGCCCCCCAAAAAGTAACGCCAACCCCATGGGGGTCTGGGCAGCCGTGGGGGCCACCATGGGGCAGGGGCTGGGTGTGTGGGGAAGGAGGAGGGGGTCAGGGCTTGTACAAAGCCCCCAGCTGAGGGGTGGGAAGGGATGGGTGAGCGACGGGGGCTGAGCCCCTGCTCTGCACCCCAGGATGTCCCCAGGGCAGGGGATGGAGCTCAGGGCCCCCCCTGGACCCCCCCGGCACGCAGCCAACTCCCGCCCAGGGTTTCCCGTGGGCGGAAAGTGAAAGAGGAAAAGCCTTCCCTGTTCCTGTCCTGGCCTCTGCCGGCCCCAGGCCAGGCCAGGGGCACCCCAAGGCCAGGGTTCCCCAAAGGGCTGTGCCCAGCCTGACCCCTCTGCCCCCCAGTTCTCCCAGTAACAGGCTCAGAACTCAAACTGGGAGCAGACTGGGAACTGATCGGTGCCCTCCGAACAGCGTGGAGATGGGGGGGAGGCCTGGTCCCTGGATGGGGACGTGAGAATCCCACCCTGGGGACACCACAGGGGTTGGGGGAGCGTTGGGGTGCAAACGTTAGGGGGATGCCCAAAGCAGTGGGGTGCTGGGGCTGGAGGGTGGGGGGACACCAAGGGCTCTGGGATCCTGTTTGGGGAAGGTGCTGGGAAGGTGCTGGTTCTGCTCTGGGGGTCTGGAGGGGGCTCCTGCCCTATAAATAGTGGGGTCCCAGCCTGGAGGGAGCACGAGGGGCCACACAGCACCGGGATGGGGGAGGCAATGGGGGGGGGTGCTGGGCCTCCAGCCTGGGGATGGGGGGGGTACGGAGAGCACTGGGAGGCCTCTGGGACCCCAAACTGGGAGGGCACTGGGACTCCAGCACGGGATGCTCAGGACAGGGCCCTGGGGGGGGGGGGTGGGCAGCGAAGCCCCAGCCCAGGAGGGGGCAACACGGGGACCCCAGCCCGGGGGGGGGGGGAGGGCTGTGGGGTCTCAGGGGGGGTCCCGGGGGGGGGGTCCCGATGCCGGCACTCACCGAGGCGCAGGAAGAGGACGACGCTGAACATGGAGAGCAGCGTGGGCACCACGACGCCCAGGAAGGTGGGCAGCTTGCGGGGGGCGGCGGCGGAGGAAGAGAAGGACGAGGAAGAGGAGGAGGAGACGGCGGTGGTGGCGGCGGTGGCGGCCCGGCCGCGTTCCCGGCCCCGCTCCTCCTCGGCCGAGCCGCCGCACAGGCGGTAGGTGAGCAGCGCGCTGCGCTCCGAGCTCGCCATGGCCCGGCCCGGCTCGGCACAGCCCGGCCCGGTTCAGCCCAGCCCGGCCCGCACCGGCCCCGCAGCGCGCCCGCGCCCCGGCCCCGCGCCACGCCCCCTGATGGCCCCGCCCCCTCGTTGCCACGCCCCTTTTATGGGCACGCCCACCGCGCAAGCCCCGCCCACTGTGCAGTCAGGCCACGCCCCCTTTGGACGCGCCCTGTGTCGTAGGCTCCGCCCACCCAGTGTGGCCACGCCCACCTTGTGTGTGGCCACGCCCCCTGAGTGGCCACGCCCCCAACCCCAAATGCCCCCCACGCCCAGGGCACTCCCGGGACCCCCATGGCCAGAGGGTGCCCCCAGTGTCCCCAGAGTCCCCTGAGTGTCCCCAGTAGCCCCCCAGTAACCCCAGTGTCCCCATTGTCCCCAGCATCCCACCCAGTGTCCCCAGAGTCCCCAGTGTCCTCCCAGTATCCCCAGTGTCCCCCCAGTGTCCCCAGAGTCCCCAGAGTCCCCAGTGTCCCCCCAGTGTCCCCCAAGTGTCCCTATTGTCCCCAGTGTCCCTATTGTCCCCAGTGTCCCCAGTGTTCCCAGTGTCCCCCCAGTGTCCCCCAAGTGTCCCTATTGTCCCCAGTGTCCCCAGTATCCCCAGTATCCCCAGTGTCCCCAGTGTTCCCAGTGTCCCTAGTGTATCCCCAGTGTCCCCAGTGTCCCCTGAGTGTCCCCAGTGTCCCCACTGTTCCCAGTGTCCCCCCAGTGTCCCCCAAGTGTCCCTATTGTCCCCAGTATCCCCAGTGTTCCCCCAGAGTGCCCCCAGTGTCCCCAGAGTCCCCAGTGTCCCCAGAGTCCCCAGTGTCCCCAGTGTCCCCCAGTGACCCCACTGTCCTGTCCCCAGTGTCCCCCACAGTGTCCCCAGTGTCCTCCCAGTGTGCCCAGTGTCCCCCCAGAGTCCCAATCAGTGTCACCCCCATGTGCCCCCCCACATGACCCCAATGTCCCCATCATATGTCCCCTCCCATATCCCCCCCAAGTGTCCCCCCAGTGTCCCCAGTGTTCCCAGTGTCCTCCCAGTCCCCCCAGTGTCCCCCCAGTGTCCCCAGTGTCCCCAGAGTCCCCAGTGTCCCCAGTGTCCCCCAGTGACCCCACTGTCCTGTCCCCAGTGTCCCCACCAGTGTCCCCCCATTGTCCCCATTGTCCCCAGTGTCCCCCCAGCATCCCCCCAGAGTCCCCAGTGTCCCCCCAGAGTCCCCACCAGTGTCACCCCCATGTGCCCCCCCATGTGACCCCAATGTCCCCATCATGTGTCCCCACCAATATCCCCCCCAAGTGTCCCCCCAGGTGTCCCCATCATGTGTCCCCCCCATGTCCCCCTGGGTTGTCCCCCCATGCGTCCCCCCACGTGTCCCCAATGTCCCCCCAGCGTCCCCATCATGCGTCCCCCAAGGGTGACCCCCCCCCCGTGTCCCCCTGTGTCCCCCCCGTGTCCCCCCCGTGTCCCCCTGTGTCCCCCCCGTGTTCCCCCCAGTGTCCCCAGTGTCCCCCCAGTGTTCCCAGTATCCCCAGTGTCCCCCCCGTGTCCCCCCCGTGTCCCCCCCCAGGGCACGCCGCCAGGGTGGCGGCCGGGCTCTGCTGCCCACGCCAATTACCGGACAATAAATCGGGGCTGGGGGCAGCTCGGGGGGCACCGTCCCATATCCCCGTCCCCGTGTCCCCCCCCCCCCCCCCAACCCCACAGCCGGGGCCCCGGGGTCCCACCGGCACCAATTAGGTGCCAATTAGGTTAATGGGGTTGGCAGCGGGCACGGGGCTGAGCGGGGGGCACACGGCGGCGGTGCCGTGGGACCGGGGGGGGGGCACCAAACCTTGACCCCATAGAGCGACCCCGAGCCACCTGGGCCAAAAGGGGGGACGGGTTCGGGTAGGGCCCTAGGGGATGGGGTATTGGGGACGGTCCCCGCTGGTAAAGGGGGGGACAGGGAATAATGGGGCCGGGGGGACCGAGGTGGGAGCCGGGGGGGGGGGGGACACTTTTGTGGGGTTGTCGCGGTGCCAGCGCCGCGCCTTTGATGTGCCACTGAGGCCGCATTGAGGGCGCCCCGCTGGCACAATTAGGGCCGGGGGGGGTGGGGGGAGAGGGAGGGGAGCGCGGCACGGTCAGGGCTGCGGGCACGGAGGCACCCCTGGCCCTAATGGGGCACCCCAATCACCCCAAGTGGACACGGGGACACAGGCACCCCCAAAATGCCCCCAACAGGGACAAACTGTCCTAATAGGGACGGGGTGGGGGCATGGGAACCCTATGATCACCCCAAGTGGGCACAGGGACCCCAAACGGCCCCAGGAAGCTGGGCACCCCCTTCCCCTAACAGGGCCAAGTTTGGGGTCACGGGCACCCCGTACGCCCCAACGAGGTGGCAACCCCGTGACCGTCCCTGTCCCTACAAAGGACACCGGCAGCAAACGGGCAGGAGGACACCCCAAAAACATGGGGCACGCACCGAACCAAGCCACAGACATGGGGGGGCCCATCCCACATCCCAGCACCCCACTCCCGGGGGACAAAACCCCCCCAATCCCTGTGTTCCCCTAAATGCCCCCATCTCTCGCATCCCCTTCCCGCTGCCCGCTCCCCTTTGAAGCTCCCGCCGCCGCCGCGTTCCCACCCGCCTCCCACCCCGGCACCCCGACCCCCCCCCAAACCCCACTCCCAGCTGCCCCCTTTTGGGTTTGGGGCCGGATTTGGGGTTGCGGGGCGGTTCGGGGGGGGGGGCACCGTTGGCGGGGTTGAGCTTGGCGTGAAAATGATCAAGGGCCTTGGGCAGCGCCGGGAGCGCAGCGCCCGTCTGATGCTGCCCGCCCCGAAGGCCCCCGTCGAACAAAGGCGGCATTGAGGCCCCGAGCTGCGTGTCCCCCCCCCGGACCCCCTCCCGGGATGGGATCTTGGCGCGACATTAATGAACTCGCCCTATTGTGCTCCCCTGGCCCCTCTCTTTCTCTCCTCCCCCCCGTCCCCGGGGGGGGCACCGTCTATATATCCGCGCGCCTCCTCCTCCGGCTCCTCGGGGACTTTTTGGGGTTCCCCCCCCTTTTATTTATTTATTTTTTTTAATCCCCCAAATTTCCCCCATTCCTAGCCGGGATGGAGAGAGGAGGGAAGAGGTTGTGGGGTGATGGATCCTGGGTTTTTCTGCCCCCCCCGTGCTGCTGCTGCTGCTCCTGCAGCCGGCCGGGGGGGCCCCCCTGGGCCAGGGGCTGTACCCCATGCCGGCCGGCGTCCTACAAGGTGAGCGCACGGGGAGGGGGCTTTGGGATGCTTAACGGGGGGGTTGGTGGAGATGGGATCCGCTTTTTAGGGCCGGGGGGCACCACGATGGGTCCCTTATCCTGTGCCAGCCCCGGGGACATCCACGTGGGGACACACGGGAGGGGGCACCACCTGCCCGCGCTCCCACCCCATTGCGCCCCTGCTGCGCCCAGCCTGCCTCCAGCATGGAAAACACAGGGCAGGGGGTCCCGGGTGGGTTTGGGGTGATGTGGGGGGGTCCTATGGGGTGGGGCTGAGCGCCCCAATGCGCCCCCGCAGCGCTGTCGAGCCGGGGGACGCTGGTGCTGGAGGCGGCGCTGAGGAGCGCGCTGCTGGCACTGGAGAGGGCCCAGGCGGAGCAGCAGCGGCAGCGGGGGGGCTGCGGGCTCTGCGCCCCCTGCCTCTTCCCCCCCTGCGCCAACAGGCACCCACCGCTGCCCACGTGAGTCCCGGCCCCCGTGCTCCTACCCAAATCACACCCCGTTCCCTAGAGACCCTACCCAAACGTTGCCCCGTGCATCCCATAGAAACCCCAAACACCCAAAGACCCCAACACCCCAGGACCCCAAAGACCCTACCCGCCCCAAGACCCTACCCAAACCGTAGCCCCCCCATAAGTGTTCGCCCCCATAGCCTTCCCCAAAGCAGTCCCCAAACCAATCCATATCACCTAAAGACCCCACAAAAACACCACCCTACCCAAACAGTTCCCCACCCTCTTGAGTTTTTGCCCTACCCCAAATACCACTTGATAAGAGCAAAATCCTTCCCAAAACATACCCCGGCACCCCGGAGACCCTACCAAAACAACCCAACACAGCCCCCCACCATTCCCCCTTCCCACCCGCCCCGGGGTGACCCGGGTGGAGGCGGGCAGGGTGCGGGGATGACGTGGGGACACCCACGACCCCGTTGTCCCCGCAGCCCCCGCCGTGCCCCCCGGGGTGCCCCCCAGCTGCCAGGCCCTGCTGGATGCCCAGGAGCACCCCGAGGTGCCCCAGCGCAACTGGGCGCTGAGCCAGGCCTGCGCCCCCTACCAGCTCCTGTGCCCCCCCCGGGGGGCTCGGCCCCACTGCGCCCTGCTCAGCGCCCAGCGCTGCCAGCGCCGCCTCCAGGAGTGCCGTGAGTGGGGACCTCCCTCCCGGAGAGAGGAGACCCTACAAAAACAAACAGGAGTCAGCCAGGAGTGCCTGGAGGGGATATGGGGTGGGGGTGCTGCTGGGGTGGGGGATTTGGGGAGGGGAGGGGTTGGAGGATGGAGTGTGGTGACGGGTGTCTCTGGTGGGATGGGAAGGTTGGGGGGGGCAGGAAAATGGGGGGGGAAGGAGGATCTGGGGTGAGATGTGGAGATTTGGGGGGTGGGGGCATTGGGAGCGATGGGGAACTTGGGATGGGGCAGCGAGAGGAGATGGAGGAGCTGGGGTGGGGTGGGAGGTTGGGGGCACTGGGATATTGGGGGATCTGGAGGGGGATGGGGCATTGGGGGGGTCACAGAGGGATCGAGGTGGGACGGGGAGATATGGGGTGGAACAGAGGACGCAGGTGTATTGAGGGGTGGAGAATCTGGGGTGGGACAATGGGGAATGGGGCACTGGGGGGGGGGGACAGGGAGATTGGGGACACAGCCACCGGAGGGGACGGGGCCACCTGGGGCGGGACAGCGGTGTTTGTTTGGGACGCACAGCTCCAGGGGGGGCACTGGGAGGAACGGGGACAAACTGGGGACACGGTGCCAACATCAGGGCGGGGGGGGAACACCCCCCCACACCGCGACAACCTGTCCCCGCAGGGCTGGCAGCCGCCACCCCGAGCGATGCCCCGGCAGAGGCGGCGATGCCAGGTGAGCCGGGGTGACCCCCCCCCAAAAAAAAAACCCCATCCCCATCCCCGGCTGCCCGCTGTGCCGAGGGGCAGAGGTTAGCGTCGGCAGCTGCCGGCCCGCGGGGTGCCCCCCGCCCTCCGCCCCCTCGCCTCCGTGAGCACGATGAGGCTTGACAGCGCGCCCCGTGCGCCGTGACCCCCCCGGGGGCCGCCCGCTGCCCCCTCCTCGGCCTCACTTCGGTGACCGTGGAGGAAAAAGGGGGATGTCGGAGGGACCCCCACCACTCACCCTAATTTTGTCCGCCAGGGAGCTGCGGGCACCGCGCGGGCCCCCCCCTCAACGCCACGGCCCCCCAAGGACGGATCATGGGGGGCAGCGTGGCCCCCCCGGGGGCCTGGCCCTGGCTGGTGTCGGTGCGGCTGCACGGGGAGCTGATGTGCGGAGGGGTGCTGGTGGGGCGCGCCTGGGTGCTCACTGCTGCCCACTGCTTCGCCGGGTACACGGGGGCACGGGGACGTGGGGTCCCTGCAGAAAGGGGCACAGGGTGGCACTGATGTCCCCCCCCCCCCAAATTTTTGTCCCCGTCCCTGGATAGGACTCAGAACGAGCTGGCGTGGACGGTGGTGGTGGGCGACCACGAGCTGGGCAAGCAGGACCCTGGCGAGGAGGCAGTGCCCGTCAGGCGCATCGTGCCTCACCCCAAGGTCGGTGGAGGTGGAGGTGGGCACCCCCAAACCAGTCCTGCACGCCCCAGGATCCCCCCCACGCTCCCCCCCTTTTTCTTTCCAGTTCAACCCCAAGACGTTCCACGGGGACCTGGCGCTGCTGGAGCTGGCGGTGCCGCTGGCCCCATCAGCCACCGTCAGCCCCGTGTGCCTGCCCAGCGGCCCCACAGAGCCCACCCCCGGCACCCCCTGCTACATCGCGGGCTGGGGGTCCCTATATGAAGGTAGGTGCCACCTGGCACCCATGGGGTCAGCAGGTGACAGAGAGGTTGGGCGCTGAACTCGGGTGCCACCCCCTCCCCAGCGCCTGCTTCCAAGCCAAGGGCGCAAAAGAGGGGAGCGTGTGGGCACCCCAAAAGAGGGGGCTGTGTAGAGGGGACCCCATAACGGGTTCCTTGCCTGGCAGAGGGGCCGTCAGCCGAGGTGGTGATGGAGGCACAGGTGCCCCTGCTCAGCCAGGAGACGTGCCGGGGCGCCCTGGGCAGGGAGCTGCTCACCAGCACCATGTTCTGTGCTGGGTACCTGTCTGGGGGCATCGACTCCTGCCAGGTAATTCCCCCCCCCAGCTCCTCAACCCCTCTGGGCACGGGGGGAGCACACAGCGCTGGCACGGCACGGCCAGGCTCCCAGCGCGCTCGGTGCTCCCCACTGATGTACGGACACCCCCCGTAGGGCGACTCGGGGGGCCCGTTGGTGTGCCAGGACCCCTCCTCGCGCCGCTTTGTCCTATATGGCATCACCTCGTGGGGTGACGGGTGCGGTGAGAGGGGCAAACCCGGCGTCTACACCCGTGTCGCTGCCTTCGCGGACTGGCTCAGCCTCCAGATGGACCGTGAGTGGCCAAGGGGCACGGGATGGCCGTGGGAATGGGGCCCACGGGGGTCCCACAAGGTGATGGGGGGGGGCTCGGCAGCTTATGGCAACCCCGCTGTCCTCGCAGCCGCCCCTGGCAGCCGGGAACCGAGCTGCTTCGAGCTGCTGGCCCTGTCGCAGCTGCCCCCCGAGCGGCAGCCCCCCGAGCGCACCCGCCTCTGCTCCTTCTACTCGGGGTCCTGCCGGGCACCCCGGGGCCAAGCCGCCTGCGCACGCCTTGCTGAGGACACGTGCCGTGCCCGGGCGAGGCGATGCGGTGAGACAACGCCGGGGCACGGGGGCTGTGTCTGGATGGGGACGGGTTGGGGACACGCCGTGCCGGCACGGTGCCAGGGACGTGGTTCTCTCGCTGCGCCCTCCCCAGAGCTGCACTCCTACGCCCAGACACTGGTGGGGCTCCTGCGTCGGGCCGGGGACTTTATCCGGAACCAGGTGGATTTCTCCTTCCTCACCCGGGCTCTGCCCCAGCTCCTGGGCAAGATCTACGGGCACCTCTTCCCTGCCCGTGTCCGTAGGGACGCCCCAGGTACCCACCCGCCCCGGCTGTGCCACCCCATGGCCCTGTGGGGACACGCCACCCTCGTGCTGGTGGCTCGGGCACCCCTACGCCGTGTCCCTCCTGTCCCTTTCTTGTCCCCACAGACGTGGCTGTGGCAGGGGAGCAGCCTAACCCCAAGGCAGAGGGACCCCGGAGACCCCCCACCAGGTAAAGGGGGACGCAAGGGGATGGGGGTTATGGGGGCTGTAGGTTTTGGGGAGGTGGGCGAGATACCCATGGGCACTGATAGGGCTTTTTGGGGACAGCTCAAGGCAGTGGGGTCCTGCTCTTCCCATAACCAGGTCCCAACAGGGGTGTACAGGGGGTGGCAGTGCCCAAGGGATGGGTGCCTGGCTGAGCTGTCCCCGCTGTGCTTGCAGGCAGGGGGCCGGGCAGTTGCCCCCATTTGCGGGGCTCTTTGGGGACGTGGGGCCCCAGCTGCAGGACTGGGTGCAGGCGCTGAGGGCTATGGATGGGGGCAGCCCCCTGGAACCCACCCCAGACGGGCAGCGGCTCCCCGGGGAGACATGGCTCTTCTTGAAGGTATTTGGAGAGGGATGGGATGGGATGGGATGGGATGGGATGGGATGGGATGGGATGGGATGGGATGGGATGGGATGGGATGGGATGGGATGGGATGGGATGGGATGGGATGGGGGAACCCTTGCCGCTCCAGTGACAGTGCCAGGAGGGACCAAACCCCACTGCCTGCCCTGTCCCCTTCTTCTCTTCCCTGCAGCAGGGCGAGGAGGAGGTGGAGGAGCTGGTGGGACAGGGCAGAGCCTTCCTCGCCCAGCTCCGGGCAGAGCTGGACCTCGACACCCCCCTGGAAGCCACGCAGCAGCAGCAGGCACCTGGAGAGCCATCGGGGATGCCCACACCAAACCGTGAGCCCTGGGGGGGGCATCGGGGTTGTCATTTCCACCCAGCTTTGTGCCCAAGCAGTGGCCACCGACAGCGTCCCCAATGGGGTTTCCACGCAGGGTTGGTGCCGAGGGAGAAACGTGAGCTGGTGCCCACACAGCCTGGGCTGGAGGAGGAGGAGGAGGAAGAGGAGGAAGAGGAGGAGGAGGCAGGTGAGGGCAGAGGTAAGCACCCCCCAGCCCCCAGGTGCTGCGGGATGCCACTGGGATGCCGGAGATGGCAAACCCAGCCAGGGCTTTGCACCCTGGGGCTGGTGACAGCGCGGTGCCCCCACCCACCCCCTGACCCTATTTCCATCTCTCTCCTGTCCCCCCCCCGGGGGCCTGCAGCCTGCCCTGGCCTCAACGCCTCGGCGCTGCGGGTGGGCGCAGTGCAGGAGCTTTACGCCTGGGTGCTGCGGGTGCCGGAGCCGGACCTGGCCATGACCTTCCAGGAGGTGCGTGGGGCAGCCACCCCCCCGGCACCTCGCCGTCCCCAGCTCGCCAGCAGCGTGTCCCCTCGCCCTGGGGCTGACGGTGGTTTTCCTCCCCTGGCAGATCCTGGTGGACCTGGGCTCCAAAAACGCCAAGGGGCTGTACCGGGCGCAGGTGAGGGCCACGGTGGGCGGCCGCCCCACGGTTTTCGCTGGCCTCGTGGGGCTGGAGAGCGACTCGCTGGCCCGCAGCATGCCCGGCCTCGTCGCTTTGGCCCTCGAGGCTTTGAAAACGTAGGGGAGCTCGGGGTCTCCCACTCCTTTGTCCCCCATTGTGCCTCAGTTTCCCTCCTCCCACCAACCTCCCGGGGCAATGGGGGGCACCTGGAGCATCCTGGCTGGGGTCCTCAGCCCTCCTCTCCCTTGTACCCCCACCTTAGCGAGCCCCTCACACCCCGTGTTCCCCGCAGGCACCCGGACTGTTATTTATTTGTACAGAGAAAGGTTTATTTTTCAATAAAGAAGGGCTCTATTTTCCGGTAGAATTTGTTTTTTCTCTCTTTTTTCACCCTCCCCATCACCTCACACCCCCAAGCGATGCCCCCATCCTCAGGTCCTGCCCCCATTATCCATGGGGTGACCCCAGCAGGGTCAGGCAGCCCCTGCCCGCCTCAGCACCCTTTTCCTTAGAGTCCAGCCCAGGGTGCCCACCCCAGGTGCCACCCCACATGAAACCCCCTCCCAGGGGACGTGCCCCAGTGGGGTGCCAACACCTCCAGCTCATGGGACAGCACAAAACTGCCCTCGAGCAGCATCCCGGGCGGTGGGGAAGGGTCTGCTCCTCCCAGCTCCGGGGTGACGAGGTGGCACCGTGGGGTGGCGAGCCCAGCTGTGCCTGCCCGTCTCCCTTCTCCCAGCACGGGGGTGCCGGAAACAAGGGGGCCACGGGGGGGGTATCCGGTGCCGGCACCCTTCCCCCTCGGCACCTGGCACCGTCCATCCCGGTGGCCGGACATCCGCCGGGCCAGGCCAAGCGGGGAGGTGGCGAGGAGCTGGCACGGCGCAAAGGCACCGCGGGCACCGCATGGGGGACCTGCTGCTGTGGCTGGCCCTGCTTGGGGCGCTGGTGGTGTGGGGTGAGCGGGGCCCCAGGGACTGGGAGGTGGGGGTGCTGGGGGTTCTCCCAAGGCTGTATTTTGGGAACTGACCGACAGGGATCTGTCACCGAGCATCCCTTGTGCCGCCCTACCCAGCGCTGTGTCCTCACCGTGCGTCTGTCTGTCTGTCCGTGTGCACCGTGTCCCTGTGTCTGTGTCCCTGCGTGTGTGTGCATACAGACACCTGCATACAGGTGTCTGTATGTCCCTGTGTCCCTGTGTCCCCACGTGGGTGCCATCCCTGCACACCCTGTGCGCCCACATGGCACCGACATGCAGCGTCCTGGCCAGCTCCCGTCCCCTCCATCCTTGCCCTTCCCTGCCCTCGCTGGGCATCCCTTTTTTTTTGGGGGGGGAGCCCAGCAACCCCCATCCCCCTGTGGCTCTGCCTGACCCCGCTGCCCCCCAGGCGGGCTCTGCGTTAACCAGGAGGAGCGGCTCATCCACCACCTCTTCGAGGAGAGGGGCTACAACAAGGATCTGCGCCCCGTCGTCTCCACCGACCAGGTGGTGGACGTCTACCTGGCCCTCACCCTCTCCAACCTCATCTCACTGGTGAGCCCCAGGCGGGCAGCAGCAGGCTGGCTGCACCCCAAAAAGGCTGGTTTGGGTTGGGGGGGGTCCTGGGGAGAGCTGTGGCATCTCCGTGCCCCCCGTTGTCGTTGCAGAAAGAGGTGGATGAGACGCTCACCACCAATGTGTGGCTCGAACAAGTGAGTAGGGACGGGAGGGGAAAGGGTCCCTGTCCCCATGCTGTCACCCTGGATGTCACAGCATCAGCTGTGGGGTGGCCTGGTGTGGTGAGGGGGTGACCCAGGGCTTGTCCTCCACCAGGGCTGGACGGATTACCGCCTACAGTGGAACAAATCCGAGTTTGGGGACATCGAGGTGCTCCGCCTGCGGCCAGAAATGCTGTGGCTGCCTGAGATAGTCCTGGAGAACAAGTGAGCCCTGCCTCAGTTTCCCCTCCCCAACCTTTCCGAGCGAGCAGCTTCATCCAGAGCCTTCCCCAGGCGCCCAGGGCTCTCCCTCGCCCTGCTATCACCTCGTTTTTTTTCCCCCTCGCAGCAACGACGGGCTCTTCGAGGTCGCCTACTACTGCAACGTGCTGGTCTACAACACCGGCTACGTCTACTGGCTGCCGCCTGCCATCTTCCGCAGCGCCTGCCCCATCAACGTCGACTTCTTCCCCTTCGACTGGCAGAACTGCACCCTCAAGTTCAGGTGCCGGGGGCAGGAGGGTGGCCAAGGAGCCGGGTCCCCAACCCCGCGGTGCCCATTGCTGTTGGGGTGCAGCACGGGGAGGGACCCAGGACCCCCTGGATGGAGGATGGAACTGGTGGGTGCAGCCCCTCACCGCCTGTCCCCCCCCAGCTCGCTGGCGTACAACGCGCAGGAGATCAGCATGCACCTGAAGGAGGAGAGCGACCCGGAGATGGACAAATATTACCGGGTGGAGTGGATCATCATCGACCCCGAAGGCTTCACAGGTAGCGTTGGTGCTCTCCGCCGTGTCCCGTGGTGGTTGGGGACACCCTGGATGGGGCTCAGGGCACCCCGGTACCTGGGGGCTGCTGGGGGTGGTGAGGATGGCCCAAATGTCCCAACAGAGAACGGCGAGTGGGAAATCATCCACCGCCCGGCCCGCAAGAACATCCACCCCAGCTACCCCCCGGAGAGCAGTGAGCACCAGGACATCACCTTCTACCTCATCATCAAGCGCAAGCCGCTCTTCTACATCATCAACATCGTCACGCCCTGCGTCCTCATCGCCTTCATGGCCATCCTCGTCTTCTACCTGCCCGCTGACAGTGAGTGGCCCCCTGGCACCTGCACCGGGGGCGTGGGGACATCCCCCATCCCATTCCTGCCCTGTGTCATGGGGACACCCCGATGCCCAAGGTGGGGACATCCTGGCACCAGGACACCCCGCTGTAGGACCCTGTCATCCTTGAGCAGGGTGTAGGATCACCCAAGGTGGGACCTTGTGCTACTCCTACAACAGAAAACCCCATATGGGGCCCTTTAGGGTGGGACACTGGGAGGGGGACCTGCGCCCCGAGCTCACCCGCTCTCCAGGTGGTGAGAAGATGACCCTGGTGATCTCGGTGCTCCTGGCCCAGTCCGTCTTCCTCCTGCTCGTCTCCCAGCGCCTCCCCGAGACCTCCCACGCCATCCCCCTCATCGGCAAGTGAGTCCTGGGCACCGCCGGGCACAGCGAGGGCAATCTCGGGGTCCCCAGGGTGGCTTTGCGCATCCCCACCCCCTTGTGCCAACGCCACCCCAGGTACCTGCTTTTCATCATGCTGCTGGTGACGGCCGTGGTGGTGATCTGCGTGGTGGTCCTCAACTTCCATTTCCGCACCCCCAGCACCCACATCATGTCCGACTGGGTCAGAGAGGTGAGGGGGGGGACCCCGGGGGTGTCCCATCAGGGCCAGGTGCGCCCAGCTTGAGGGGACGGAAAGCGGGGACACGGCGACGTCCTGTGCCCAAGGTGTTCCTGGAGAGCCTGCCCCGTTTGCTGCGCATGTCGCAGCCGGCGGGGAGTGCGGCGGGCGCCCCGTGCATCCGGCGCTGCAGCTCGGCCGGGTACATCGCCAAGGCGGAGGAGTACTACAGCGTCAAATCCCGCAGCGAGCTCATGTTCGAGAAACAGTCGGAACGGCACGGGCTGGCCAGCCGAGTCACCCCCGCCCGTGAGCCTCAGCCCCTCTTTGTGGGGTTAGGGGGGGACACGGGGAGGGTGGCTGTGCCCTCTGAGGGGTCTTGTGCCCCCCAGGCTTGGCACCAGCGGGGACGAGCGAGGAGCAGCTCTATGAGCAGCTGAAACCTGCTGTTGATGGTGCCAACTTCATCGTCAAGCACATGCGGGAGAAAAACAGCTACAATGAGGTGGGGGCCGCGGGCACGGCGGGGTGGAGGGGGGCTCCCCGTGCCCACCGTGCCCCCGCTGCCCTGCTCCTGGCTCCCTCCCCAGGAGAAGGACAACTGGAACCGCGTGGCCCGCACCCTGGACCGCCTCTGCCTGTTCCTCATCACCCCGATGCTGGTGGTGGGCACGCTCTGGATCTTCCTCATGGGAATCTACAACCACCCGCCGCCGCTGCCCTTCTCCGGAGACCCCTACGACTACCGGGAGGAGAACAAGCGCTACATTTAGGGTGGCCGGGAGGAAGGGGGGGGGTCCTCTCTGCTCATCCCGCTGTGGTTTGGGGAAATAAAGCTGGGTGCTTCTCGCCGTGGGGCGCAGAGCTGGTGCCTGCTCTCGGTGTCCCACCCGAAGCGCCGAGCCCTGGTGTGTGCCAGGGGGGGCGATGCCCACCCAGGGGATGGGTGCTGCTGGGTGTTCTGGTGCTACAGGGGGCCAAGACCCCCAGCCAGACCCCCAGAGGTCTCCCCAATCCCACAGTGAGTGGCTGGGGCCCAGGGGGTGTCTCAGCAGGAGCAGGGCTCCGGTTTCAGGGGGCACAGCTGATGTCCCCCCTGCCGGTGGTGGCCTGGGACAGCTGCCACATCCTCTCCACCGAGCCAGGAATGTGCAGCTCCCCCCGACATGGGGCTGGGCAGGATTCAGACCCTTGAGGCGGGCACTGCTGAGGGGACCTGCCTGCCCTGGGGGCCACCGGTCACTGCTGGGGGGGGACACAGGGCACCGCTGGAGGTGTTTGCAGGGGGACACCCCCTTTCCATAACCCATGGCCACATGGCTTTCCACTATGGGGCCATACATCCTTTTCTGGGGGATATGGGGGAACGGAGGCCATCATTTTGCCCCCAACCCCAATTCCACACCCCACCAACAGCACGAAACGCCACGGGAGCTGCCCAGCACACCGCCACCACTCCGCTGGTGGTGGACGGGGGGGGGACAGGATGGGACGCGGGCTGCCTCCCACCCCTCCCTGCCCCGCATTGCTGCTGGGAGCAGCTGACGGGGTTGGGGACAGCTGTCCCATCCCGCCGGGCGCCAGGCCCAGAAGCTCGGCGTGCAGGCGGCCGAGCGGAGCCCCAGCCCCTGCGCCCCACGGCTCCGCCATGCGCGGCCTCCTCCTCGCCCTCTGCGCCCTGGCAGGTAAGGGGTGCCCACCCCGCGGTGTGGGGGGAGTGCTGGGGGTCCCCCCTTCCACTGGCTTTGTCCTTGGGGGCTTGTCACCCATGGGTGCAGGGCTCCATGCATGGTCCCCCTGGGTGTCCCCATGCCCTGTTTGCGCACCGCCGGGCACCTTCAGCGGTGCGTGCACCCCCTCCCCATGCACGACCTCCCCCCAGTCATGCCAGCAGCCCCCTGGGGCATCACCAGCCCCCTCATCCCCACCCTGGGGTGCCCCCACGGCGCTGCGTGTCCCCCCCCCCAAGGTGTGAGCTGCAGGAACCAGGAGGAGAAGCTGCTCCAGGACCTGATGACCAACTACAACCGGCACCTGCGCCCGGCCCTGCGCGGGGACCAAGTCATCGATGTCACCCTCAAGCTCACCCTCACCAACCTCATCTCCCTGGTGAGACCCCCCCCCAGCCCCCAGCAGCGGGCGGGAGCATGGACCTGGGGTGCTGGGGTGATGCTGCAGGGGCCCAGGTGGCCCTGGTGGGATGGGATCTGTCCCCATGGAGGGGACAGATGGCTAAAGCCACCTCCCCCCTTCCTTGCTTGCCAGAACGAGCGGGAGGAGACCCTCACCACCAACGTCTGGATCGAGATGGTGAGACCTCAGACAGTCCCCCCCCCTCGGTTACCTTTTCGCCTCGTGGCGGGCTGTCACCGTAACCCACCCCCCCTTTTGTGGGTGCCCCCTGCTGTGCCCATTTTGGGGACAACACGGGACAGGCAGCCCCGGGGAGCGCCGTGACCCCCCCCTCTTTTTGCTCCCCTTGCCCAGCAATGGTCCGATTACCGCCTGCGGTGGGACCCCGAGCACTACGACAACATCCAGCTGCTGCGGGTGCCCTCCACCATGGTCTGGCTGCCCGACATCGTCCTGGAGAACAAGTGAGCCCACTCCGGGGTGCAGCAGGGTCACCTCCCCACGCGTGGGGTGACAGCCACCCCGTGGGCATCGCCTGGGGCTGAGCCCACCCTTTTTTTCCCCCCCCCAGCATTGACGGGACGTTCGAGATCACGCTCTACACCAACGTGCTGGTGTCCCCCGACGGCAGCATCTACTGGCTGCCCCCCGCCATCTACCGCAGCTCCTGCTCCATCCACGTCACCTACTTCCCCTTCGACTGGCAGAACTGCACCATGGTCTTCCAGTGAGCACCTTATTGGGGGGGTAGGGGGTCCCCCTTTGTCCCCAAAACCTCATTGTCTTGCAATGAGCCCCACTTGCAAAGTGCCACCAAGCTGTCCCCTGGCACCCCGTGACCACCGGGAGGTGAGGGGCTCCTGAGCCAAGCCAAGTGGCCAAAAAAAAAGCAGGAGGTGGCCTAGTGCATGCTGCCTGTCCCTCCCCAGGTCCCAGACCTACAGCGCCAACGAAATCAACCTGCTGCTGACGGTGGAGGAAGGCCAGACCGTGGAGTGGATCTCCATCGACCCCGAAGCCTTCACAGGTAGCCCCACGCCCCCCCAAAAACACGAGCAGCCCACCCTGGGGGCGCCCAGAAACCTGCTGCAACGCCGCTGGCTGCCAAAATCTGGGCGGTGGGGAGCCGGGGGGAGAGGCTATTAGCAGCCCTTGCCATTACATGGGTACTTAAGTTATTAGTGGGAGCGGGAGCGGGGGAGAGATTTGTTTTTCCAGCCCCCCCGGCTCGCCGCTCTCACCGCCTGGCAGTCCCTCCCGGAGAGCGCTGCTCCCGGCAGCTTGATTGATGTTGGGAACGTAGCTGTCACGGCCAAACGATGACGTTTTCCATCACATTTTAATTGCATAGTGAAGGAACAAAATGCTTTTCGGGCGGAGAGATTTATTTTTTCATTACCGGCCCGGGCTGCGATCTTGATTGGGAAAAATCTATCGCTCCCGCAGACGGCGGGGGAAAACAACGCGCCTTAATAAAGCGTCACGCTCGGCTTCCCCCACGGCTCCCCGCTGGCAGGGCGCTGGGGGGGACTCCCGGCCCCACACGTAACTCATCCTGGGAGCCCCTGTCCCCAAGGGACCCCCGGTGCCCCATCAGTTTCCCCCTCCTGTAGCTCTCAGGGGTATTTTGGAGCACCCCTCGGTGCTTTTCAGGGGTATTTTGGAGCACCCCTCGGTGCGCATCGCCCTCCCCTGCCCCCTCATCGTGGCCCCAGCACCTCTCCCCACACCGTGCCCAGCCCTCCTCATCCTCCCACCCGTGCTGGGGGCTGGCAGTGTCCCCAAAAGGACACGAGGACTCACCTGGTGGCATCCCTGCGTGGCAGAGAACGGCGAGTGGGCCATCAAGCACCGCCCCGCGCGGAAAATCATCAATTCGGGGCATTTCACCCCAGACGACACCCAGTACCAGCAGGTGGTCTTCTACCTCATCATCCAGCGCAAGCCCCTCTTCTACATCATCAACATCATCGTGCCCTGCGTCCTCATCTCCTCCATGGCTGTGCTCGTCTACTTTCTGCCTGCCAAAGGTACGCTGGTGCTGTGCCCATGGTGGGCACCAGGATGTTCATCCCCAGCTGGTGACTTCTGAGATATTTGGGGTTTGGGGTGATTTTTTGGGTACTCCTGGGTTAAGCTGCCACGCAGGACTTGGTGGGTTCATTGCTGGGGTAATTTTGCCAAAGCGGTGCCGTGCCCACACCGCTGCCCCCATGCCAAGCCTCCCCTCTGCCCCTCCTCGGCAGCGGGCGGGCAGAAATGCACCGTCTCCATCAACGTGCTCCTGGCCCAGACCGTTTTCCTCTTCCTCATCGCCCAGAAGGTGCCCGAGACCTCCCAGGCGGTGCCGCTCATCGGGAAGTAAGTGACACGAGGGGATGGGGTCACACTGGGCCAGCGGGGGTGTCTGGGTGCCAGTGGACAGGACCCAGGCACGGATATCTGCCCTATCTGCTCATATCCTGGGCAAGCTGCCACGGCAGGAAGGGGAGAGGGAGCCAAGGCTCCCAGGCAGGACGTTCCAACCCTCCACGCGCAGGGTGACACGGGGTTACCGCGTGCCCATGTCCCCAGTTTCCACCCCAAAATTCCCGCTACCGTAGCTCGTAGCGTGGCAGCTGAGGCCCCGTGTTCCCCTTCGCAGGTACCTGACCTTCCTCATGGTGGTGACGGTGGTGATCGTGGTGAACGCCGTCATCGTCCTCAACGTCTCGCTGAGAACGCCCAACACTCACTCCATGTCCCAGAGGGTGCGCCAGGTACCTGCCTCCAGCCCCCTGCCCCTGTGGGGATTAGGGGGGGTGTCTGGGGTCTGCCCTACTCTGTAGGCATGCCCTAAACCCGTGGTAGGGACCCCCAGATGTCCCCAAGGCACCACGCTGTGCCGCTGACCCCTCTAAACCACTGCTGAGCCCTGGGGAGCAGCGGGTGCCCGGTGGCACAAGGGTGCTCCAGGGATGATGCACTAGGACCCAACTGCACTCACAGGGGTGCCCTGGGTGGTATCAGGGGGACCAGGACCCCATGGGTGACACTGTGCCCAGGTGTGGCTGCACCTCCTGCCCCGTTACCTGGGCATGCACATGCCGGAGGAGGCGCCGGGGCCGCCGCGAGCCTCCCGGCGACGCAGCTCCCTGGGGCTGATGGTGAAAGCCGACGAGTACATGCTGTGGAAAGCCCGGACCGAGCTGCTCTTCGAGAAGCAGAAGGAGAGGGATGGGCTGATGAAAACCGTGCTGGAGAAGATCGGTGAGTGCCCCAGGCGGGCTGGCATTTCCCCTGGGTGATGCGCCGGGCTGGCCCGGGGTGCTCACCGGTGCCTGGGGCCGTGCCGTGCGCCCGCAGGCCGTGGGCTGGATAGCGGCTACGCTCAGGACTTCTGCCAGAGCCTGGAGGAGGCAGGCCCCGAGATCCGGGCTTGTGTCGACGCCTGCAACCACATCGCCAACGCCACGCGGGAGCAGAACGATTTCAGCAGCGTGAGTCAGGGCTGGGGCGGCACAGGGGGGGGACCAGGGGTGGCGAGGACAAGCCCTCAGCGCCCCCTCGATGTGCGCCCACAGGAGAACGAGGAGTGGATCCTGGTGGGGCGGGTGATCGACCGCGTCTGCTTCTTCATCATGGCCTCCCTCTTCTTCTGCGGCACCGTCGGCATCTTCCTCATGGCTCACTTCAACCAGGCGCCCGCCCTGCCCTTCCCCGGGGACCCCAAGCCGTACCTGCCCCAGTGACACCCGACCAGGTGATGCCAGGGGCTGGATGTCCCCAAAATCTCCGTGCCCGGCTTCCTGGGGACCGGGGTGGCAGGGCTCTGTCACCCCCCTGCCTGTGGGGGTGATGGGGAGCACGGGGTGGCTGTGGTTGTGCCGAACATGGAAGTAAACCTCGTGGCAGTCTCGTGGGCTCCTGTGGCTTCTTTCTGCCTCCTGCTGGGGTTATCCCCATGGGATGACCCCCCCCTGAGGGCTGGCACCCAGCTGGGGACAGACACAACAGGGTGGGGGGTCCTGTCCCCAGTCCCACAGTGGCTGAAGGGACAGGAGGTCCTGGTTTGGAGCCCCCAGCCCTGCGAGCTTCCTCACCATCATTCCCTGAACCAGACAACCCCAGCCCAGCCGTCAGCTCCTGCTGGACCAGCAGACAGGCAGGGCTCACAAACCTGCCACAGCCCAGCAACCCCTGGGGATAGCAAAGCCCTGGGGATGGGTTCTGTGGCTTGAAGGGGTTCAACGTGCTGCTGGTTTCCTCAAAAGAAGCTACACAGGGATCTGAGTAAGTTTAAAGGTGGACAAAGCCTTTTGGGATGAAAAGAACAGGGAAGGTCAAGGCTCACCGCAGATTTGGGGCTCCTGCTCAGGCTTGCTATCTGAAGAGGATCTGAAACCTCCTCCTAGGGTGCAACAGAGGCTGCTTCCCCTCCCAGACAACCCCGTGGCTAACTTTTCACCACTTACCAGCAGGACACGGTAGATCACAACCCAAAAGCACTGCTCAGAAACCAATCTGGCTCCATCTCTCCCCAGTCCAGTGGAAGCACCAAATCCAGTGCTTCACACCGATCAAAGAACACCACTTTTCTTCTGCCCTCACAAATCCTCGTAGCATTTAAGAGGGCAAACTCCAGGTCCCAGCCAGCTTGCTCCCTGAGCAAGAGGAACTGGTGCCGAGTTCCTCCAAATCTCAACCACAGCGGCAGCGGGAGGCACAGCCTCAGGGGAAGGGCTCTTCTGCATCTCTCTCGCAATGAGTATTTAAGGGCGAGCACAGCAGGACTGCAGCATTTTCAGATTTAATAGCAAGCCTGCGCTCATCAGCACCAGCTTAGGCGCAGGGCATGAGAAGCAAGAAGTGGGCGAGTACATGAAATAGCAGAGGTGGACGCGACGCGCAGCTGGGCACAACAACAGGACTAAAACCCTAAGTGATGTCATCTGCAAGAAGCTAAATGCGCTGTGGATAAAAGGAGCCTGCAGCTAGTATTTCAGCCTTGCCTTGCTAGGCTATTTTTGCTTAGATTGCCAAAATGTAATTACAACTAAATCCCCCTAACAAATACCAGAGAGCAGCAGGGGAGAGTTGTATTTAAAAGGAATTTTAAGTAGCAGCCGTAGTAGTACCTGATCACAGCAGGGAAAACAAACTGCGCCTGGGAAAGAGCATTTGGTTGAAAGCTGGTGGCAAACAAGTGGCAGGAGCAGGAACGGGACCGTGGGGTCTCGAGAAACTCTAAGAGTGATGCTACAGCCAGGGAAACTGCCCTGCCCTCCTGCCCAGCCAGGTGCCAGCAGGCACAAGCTGCATGGCCACGGGGAGCAGGCAGTCATCAGTCCCTGCGCTACTGCCTCGGACTGAAACCCTCAACGTGGAAAACAAACTCCCTCAGAAGAATACTTGAGGCTGCCTTCTCTGCCAGTCCTGGCCGCTTTCAGTCTAAACTTCAATAACAACACCAGGAATTTGTGATTGGAGCCATAAGGCTGGAGGTCTCCTGGTCCCCAAGGCTGGTATCTCTCCCCCACGGTCTACTGGTTCTGTACTCACCAACAAACTGGTCCCAGCAGCCCCTTCGCGCTGGGACTGAGGAGTGCCCAGGGCAGGAGGTGTGCCCCAGCTCTGGCCAGAGCCTCCCCTTCAGGCCCGATGCAAAGGCTCTATTCAAAATGAAAGGCAATTGTGCTATTCCCCAAGGAAAAGGGGAAAGGCTAAAGCTGTTAATGAGTACAATTAGTGTTGTACTCAAGCAGCATCAGAGGAAATAATTAGCTCCTGTTGTTTCTGTGGCATCTGAACTGCAGCCTTGCTGTCTTTCCAAGCAACAACCGATCAGTCCAGCCTCACCCCAGAGGACAGAAGACAAGGGGTCACCCTCAGACCCTCTTCTGGTCACAGCTTCCACACAGCAGCCTCATCCAAGCCATCGCCCTCTTTTGCTACAGCCACTGGGGTCCAGTTTCCCATAGGGCTGAAGAGTTGCAGACCTCAGCCACCCACAGAAGCACGCACAGCCCTGCACTCAGCTTTTCCTGATGGTTCTCCACTGAGACAGCTGGAATAAAGCAGTTAAGTGACACCAGACACCTCTTTGTCCTAGTTTAAGGGCAGCTTGCAGCCCTCTCCCCAGCAGGGAAGGCTGGGTGCAAGACACTGCTAACCAGGGAGTATGAAGAAGATGCAAAGACAAAGTAACCTAATTTTTCAAGTTATATCTGTAGCTCCAGATCATGAAGGTCATGCAGACAGGTAGCTGAGAGGAAGTTGCCCTATGGAACCCAAAGAAGCAGGCCTGTGGTCTTACCACAGACTAGGGAAATACCACCCCACCACTTTCAGACCAAAAAAAATAAAAATAAAAAGACTGAAAGAAACAAAGAGACCCAATAATTTATTGGCAGAGCTGAAAGTGGGCATTTGAAAACCATAGGGCTGACTCTCAACTGGGAAGCTCCTCCCAGCTGCAGAGAGATTTTTTAATACTGGTAATCCCTCAGCAAAAGGCTCCGACGTCAAGGCAGAATCCCAGAGATCCTGCATGCCGTGTACAGAAAGAGAGGAAAGTGCTGCAAGATGCGGCCCCGAGGGCACGCTGCTAATTGAAAAGGTTGGCCTCCCGCCCCACTGCTAAAAAAGTTTGTGTATGACAAAATCAGCCTCTATTATCACCGCTGCTGGAGGGCTTCAGATGGATCCTTCCTCCGAGGAGGAGTGCGAGAGTGGCCCATGAGTCCCTTCAGAGGTCGGAGGGCACTGGTGGAGACCTCTCAGTGCTTTCAACACGGAGAGAGGAGCTTAGTGCCAACTCTTGTTCTCACAATGTGATTTTTGTGTTTCGAAAGCTTGAATTATCCCTGGAAAACAAAGGGAAAAAAGAGGTTAAAGATATGCATTGTTCAGATCTCAGCACCCCAAGGTTCCACCCACTTATCAGTGGCTATCAGTGCTGCCATCCCAGCAATGTGTTGTCACCCAAAACAATGCTCGTTAAACCTCCTAAGCAGAACTTGCTAACTACAGACTTCCTGCTAAGCCAACCTGCTGCTCCAGAACACCTCAACACAAGCTCTTGGTTTGTTCCCATTCAGCAGGAATTAAAAAGTGCTATCTCCTGTGAACAAAGCACGACAGGCACTGCAAACTTCCCTAACAGATTCTGGGAGTTAAACAATTTGCAAGATCCCTTCCTTCCTAAATGTTTGTCCTCAGGGATTCTGCTTGGAGCACAAATATACTGGCAGTGAAGCCTTCTCCTGCCTCAGTGCCTCATAGCTAGTTCCTTTTGTCTCACTATCAACAAGTTTAGGCCTCTGGTCTTTCCTGCCTTGAAAGAATATTTAATCCAAAGAGGACATTCTCCAAAGCTTAAATAGCAGAGCTTTTTCAGCAGCTTTTACCCACGTGAGTACAGCCATGGGACTACTGCCAAAGAAAGGATTGCTGGTCCACAACCTTCATTTGTGTCATTGTGCAGCACGTGGCAGCAATTGAAGATAGGACAGGTTACAGAAACCTGTGCTAATGCTTACTGCTGGCCTGTGAGCAGCAGCAACAGGCAAACCATATTTACTCGTTAATAAAAAGGCTGGGGAGTTGTTGCTGTTTTTTTACTCTTTAATTTTTTTCTTATCCAAAGGCAATTAAACGAGATGACAATTACTTGGAGAGGATGGGTTTGGTGCCCCTTCCCCTAAGAGGGCAGGACAGTAAGATGCCCAAACCAAGCATCTAGGGATAACCCAGCACACATCACAACAAATTGGCAGAGCTGTGTTGAAGAGTGAAGGCAGCTCACAGCTTCAGAAGCATGGTGCTTTGCAGGGCTGTAAAACCCCATTTCAACCCTTGAGCTAGCTTTGTGTGCTGCTAAAAGCCACGTGGTAGCTGTAACATCACAGCACAGTGCATGCTGGAACAGCTCCAGGAGGCAAGCTGGAGAGCTGGAGGAGCAGAAGGAAGTCAAAAACACTCTTTAGGAGAGTTAAACAAGTTACTCTGCTATTACATGACAGCACAAAACCATGCTGGAGGCCATCTGTAGGAGACTGGGGTTCACCTTTGTACTTGCAAGCAAAGCAGGCTGTGCTGCCATCTGGGAACATGATTCAGGATTCATTAACTGGATTCCAGTTAATTTGCAACAGCAATTAGACTTTCCGTCCCATTCAGTACTTTCACCCGTGTCATCTACCTCAGGAGGATGGCAGAGTTTAGTTCTTTCTTGGGCAGGTTCCTACATCTCCCCTCTTTTCACCCCTATCGTCGTGCCCCAGCCCTCTGCTCACTGCTGCTCTCCCTGGTGGGTAGCTCACTACAGTCGAGAGCTAAATCAACTCTGTCACTGTTTTCCTACCCACTTGGCACATGTTCTGGCCTTCTGAGCCTGGTGTTTCGTGAAGTGAGCTTGTTTTCTCTTCTGGAAGGTCACTTGAATGTCCTCTCAACAATAAAAACACTCCTATGTGCCTGCGTGATGTTTTGTAAACATTGATCCTCACAAAAAGCCAAATCAGTGAGGAAAGGTTATTTCAGCCGTGACTTCAGAGCAGGCCATGAGAGCACTGCTTGCCCAAAGCTGCGGAAGGAGGGTTTGGGAGCAGAGGGATTCCCAGTGACCCCTCGATGCTCGGCTGCATTGGAGCAGCTACACTCCACCACAGGGTGGGAATTGGGCTGGGGGATGTTCCTTCCAGCAGATTCCTCTACTCTGGCACTCAGCAGTGCAGCAATCCCACTTGGCTACAGCCAAACACAACCCTCCTCACCAGGCCTCGTGCTAGACCTTTTTTTAGGAGAGGGCCTGCTGTCGGGGAAGCAGGGTTAGAGGGGAAACCAATCTGAGCTGCAAGGCTCACAACGGCACCGAGCTCACCTTGCCTGTTTTCCCTGCACGTGGTCGGTTGCCATTACCAG